CCCACCATCCAGCAACTCCACACACACATCCAGCACCCCACACACACACACCATCCAGCACACACACACACATCATCCAGAGCACACACACACATCATCCAGCACACACACACCTTCATCCAGCACTCACACACCCATCATCCAGCACTCACACACCCATCATCCAGCACCCACACACACCCATCATCCAGCACTCACACACCCATTATCCAGCACCCTCACACACCCATCATCCAGCACTCACACACCCATCATCCAGCACTCACACACCCATCATCCAGCACCCTCACACACCCATCATCCAGCACTCACACACCCATCATCCAGCACCCACACACCAACATCACCCAGCACACACACACACACACACACATCATCCAGCACACACACACACACACACACACACACCATCCAGCACTCACACACACGTCATCCAGCGCGCTCACACACACGCCATCCAGCACACACACACGTCATCCAGCACACGCACACACTGCATTCATTATACACACTCTTCACTCACTACAAACACACTACATTCACTATACACCCTCTGCATTCATTATACACATTCTGCACTCACTATACACTACATTCACTATACACACTCTGCATTCACTACAAACACACTACATACACTGCATTCATTGTACACACTGCACTCACTACAAACACACTAAATTCATTATACACAATTTGCACTTACTACAAACACACCACATTCATTATACACACACCTGCACCTACTACAAACACACTCACATTCACTATACACACTCTGCACTCACTAAAACACTACATTCACTATACACACTGCACCACTACAAACACACTAGCATTTATTATACACACTGCACTCACTACAAATACACTACATTTGCTATACACACTGCACTCACTACAAATACACTACATTCAGCTTATACACACCCCAAGACTCACTACAAATACACTACATTCATTATACACACTCTGCACTCCCTAAAAACACACTGCATTCATTATACACACTCTGCACTCACTACAAATACACTACAATTATTATTCACACTGCACTCACTGCAAACACACTACATTTATTATTCATACTCTGCATTCACTACAAACACACTACCTTCATTATACACACCCTGCACTGCACTATATGCATAGGAGTGTAATTTAAAAAAAAAATAATAATTTTAAGGGGGTGGAGGGGGAGGCGGGAATCTTGGGTGAGTTCCCACACCTTTTTCCCCAGGACTTGACCCCTGCCAAGGACCATAACCATTACAATGCCCTGTAAGTGGTTATGGTGCCAGGAGAATCAGCTCTCAGCCAGTGAATAATGTCCCAACTTTGTAGAAGATGGTATGATGATATAGATATATAAATTTGCACTTTACCATACCACCTCAGACCTGAAGGACAATGAGGGAACAACAGAAACAGGAGACTGTCAATTTAATAAACCGTTTAACAGCTTACTGCCAGAAAGTGCCAGGGGACTCCTGGCACCACAAACTCTACATAGCACTGTCGCGGTTATGGTGCTTATGGTATCCCTTTAATCCATTACGTTTCATATGAACATTCCAGTGTGTGTAGGTTTCTTTAAAACCTCTAAACAGACATTTCAGTTACTGTACAAAAGTGCAATTGTTATGTTAAATTATAGTTACAGTGCTAATTTGTCTTTAATTGGTCTTACTGCTTAATGAAGAAAGGTTGGTTAACACTTACACGTGCCATCAAGTGAACTGAGGCGTTTGGGTTTTTTGATC